ATCATCCTTTCCTACTCTACTTCCCCTTCCTTTCTCCTTCTCCTCTCTGTACCTTCCACTCCTCCTTATCCTCCCCATCTTCCCCCCTTACCCTCTCTCCTATCCCTCTCTTCCCATCTTTCTTCTCCCTTCTGTGGCAATATCTGCTTATTTTAAAAGTGGGCAAAAGCCATTAAAGTAATTTAAGGGCCTTGGAAAGAGATCTATACAATATGGCCAATTCTGAAGTTAATCTGATTTAACTTTCTCCTCAAAAATAGGACAGAATTTGGAAAAAAATGGAACTCATGACCCGGGATGGAATATACATTATTTGGCAAGAGGCAGTGATGAAATTTGCGGTGAAAGAAACTTCTAGGGCTGTCAGGAGCAGTTCCTTGAAGATGGAAAGGAGAAGGAGTTTTGTAAGGAATACTGATGCTTTACCCACATCACTGCAGCTGTTTAGTGAATCTGAGCTGAAAGTGATTGTCATTTTTTTCTCTCTCATAAAGCTTTCTATTATCCTTATTGGACAGGAGGCCATGAAAATAATGGTGCCTCCAGAGTTTTTTTAATTAGGCTAGTGCCGGCAGGTTGCAATCCAGTTTATGTATGTGCTCACATGACATTATACAGCTACAGACTGGAAAAATGAGACTGAACCACATAGAAATAAGGGCAAAACAAGAGAACTCAAAATCCGCCAAGGTGCTGTATGATTTGATGACAAGGATGTCTCTGATATAGAAGCAGAAAGTCAATAACTGAACACCTCCCTCTTCCCCCTTCTTCCTTTCTCTACCATGACAGTTTCTGTACAATACCATAGCTTCTTTCATAAAAGTCACCTTTCGTTAGGTGAAAGTATGTGCAGGCAAGAGATGAAGTCAATCTGTAGTACAAAGTGGTACCCAACATCACATATATCCTGTAGCCAATCCTTGGGTGCTTATTCCTGCAGAAAACGGAAGATCAGCTCACCGAATTAACTGTTTTAATAACTGGTTTTTGGCTGTGTTTCTCTTTTTTGGGGGGGCAATAACCAGCATTTTGCTGGAGAGGCAAAATACAAGCTGCCTTTTGAGCTATAAACCAAAGCTCATTGGATTGATAATAACAACTTAAATGGCTGTGATGGACTAACAGAGACATAATAATAGAATAATTTAGAGTGTTCTCAGGGTGGACAGCCACATCTACCCCACAGAGCCGAGGTGGCTCAGTGGTTAGGGTGCAGTACTGCAGGCCACTTCAGCTGACTGTTATCTGCAGTTCAGCGGTTCTAATCTCACCGGCTCAAGGTTGACTCAGCCTTCCATCCTTCCGAGGTGGGTGAAATGAGGACCCAGACTGTGGGGGCGATATGCTGACTCTGTAAACCGCTTAGAGAGGGCTGAAAGCCCTATGAAGCGGTATATAAGTCTAACTGCTATTGCTATTGCTAAAACTCTTGTTCGCCCGTACCAAAACCCTTCTAAATATTCTCATTGAGCGATAACTTTTAGCATGATCAAATTCTTAAATATATATGGAGTACCATCGTGTTTCCCCGAAAATAAGACAGGGTCTTATTTTCTTTTGACCCCCCCCCCGAAATAAGTGCTTGGCCTTATTTTCAGGGAAGTCTTATTATTTTTGAGGTGCAGGAGGCGTGGTCACCTCATGGCTGCTATTGTGTTGCAATATTTTGGTGGGAGGGCTTATTTTAGCGCATGTGCTCAAAGGCCCAATTGGGCTTATTATCCAGGGAGGTCTTATTTTGGGGGGAAATAGGGTATCAACTGAATTTAGTTAATGGCATTTAAAAGTGAATTCAATCATATCTAACTTGGGGGTTTTTTCCCCCTGATTTTGCCCACATCTTTATCTCAGTCTTATTTGTTGTACAGATTCAGGTGTGCTACTGAACGCTGAGCGCAGTGTCGACCTCAACACAAAAAAAGTTGTGCATTCTGACTGAAAGAATTGCAAGAGAGGTCACATTAGACAGAATTCAGCTCTCACTGCGTCTGGTAGCTGCCTCATCATGCCAAGTGATGGGGCCAAAAATGAATCTTGTCACTCATGGTGGGTTTTGATCTTTGTATCCCATATCCTTTTTTGTTTCAGGGGCAACCACAAGGGAGGCAAATAAAAGTAAAAATGGCAGGCATATGAAAAAAAGGGTGGGCCTTCCATCACAAAATCACAACCTCTGTCTGCTCGAGCCATCCCATTTCTCTCTAAATATTTGGATGCCAAAGGAGGAATTTGTTTCTTCATCTCCTCATCCTCTCCCCCAAAAACATGACTTCTGTGTTTTATTTGAACACACGTTTTGAAAATGGTATACTCTTTTTCCTCAACAGACACTTTACATGAAATAAGGGCAAAATTGAACATAATAAATGAGTGTGTGTGCGTTTTGCTAGTTTTACCTAATTTCGTATTATTGTTTTGCTCTTTCAGATGTATCTCAGAGATCTCAGCATCTATCCTAAACAAAGATGTTCAAGTGCTCCTCAAATCATTAGCACTAAATCATTCAAAATGTTTAGCTATTTTCCAGTGGTGGGTTTCAAAAAATTTTCGAACCCACTCTGTGGGTGTGGCCTCCTTTGTGGGAGTGGCTTGCCAGCCATGTGACCTGGTGGGAGTGGCTTGCCGGCCATGTGTTTGTTTGTTTGTTTCTTTCTTTCTTTCTTTCTTTCTTTCTTTCTTCCTTTCTTTTTCTTTCTCTTTCTCTCTTTGTGTGAGTCTGTGTGTGTGTGTGTGTGTGTCTGTGTGTGTGTGTGTGTGTGTGTGTGTGTCTCAGTGGTGGGTTTCAAAAAATTTTGGAACCTCTTCTGTAGGTGTGTCCTGCTTTCCGGGTCCACTGGTGGAACCTCTTCTAACCGGTTGGGTAGATTTGAAGAACCGGTTCTACCGAACTGGTGTGAACTGGTAGGAAGCCACCTCTGCTACTTTCCGTGCTTCTGACATCCCCTGTTGTGGAAATCCTATCCAAGTCCCACTCTCTTAAAATGTAACTATAACAACA